TAGTACAACTTAACATATGAAGGTGGGGATTCGAACTCACAATCTCTTGGTTGGAGATAGATGTGTTTTATGCGTGGGTTTCACTAGTTCATGAACATTTGATAGGTAATTTCATCATATTCCAGTAGAAATTAATTAAAATAATATTGTTTTGTCACCTTACCAATACAAGACTAATACTATAGCTAACCAAGAAAGTAAGAACGCAGACTAAATAAAATTATTTTGCAATATGCTTTGAGAATTTAGAAATGAGAATTATAAATGTAAAGGAGAACTAAGCACTAAAAGTAGTAATTTACCTAAAAAAAAGTAATTGCAAATATAATAAATAGTATAACCTAAGTGAATTACGGATTATTATTTGCCAGTCATTAAATAAAGAATTATAAAATTTACAGTTAGATAAATTGTTGGGAAAAAACCCCTACTTCTATTGCAGAAATAAGCAGAAAATAACTGAGAAATTTAAAGAAAGCAATAAAATAAAGAAACACAAGAATTAACGTGGAAAAACTTCAAGGAGAAAAAACCACGGCCCGCAAGGGAAAATCCACTATGTGAAAAATTATTACAATCACATAGATTTCTCTCCCCGACCCTAATTACACAAAACACTCTTTCAAAGCAAATACCGCTCAGTTAACTAGAACTAGTATATCAGGGTTAAAGTATTTCAATTGGGATGATTAAAACCCAAGCCCATGAGCTCCCTTTATAGAATCTTAAAAAATTTCACCTTGGCAAGATATTGAAAAAAGTTAACAGCTTTTACTGCACTCATTGTCTTCACCGGCAATCATAATTCTGAATTCAGAAAACTATAGCCTACTCCACCATAAAAGTAGATCACTTGGAATGTCACCTTCCAAGATTTTTCTTCCTCGTCACATGTCGATAAATCCTGCTGAGATTTATGGTGCAAGTTCCACCTACTTGGCTCACTTGGAAGTTCTTCAGCCATCAACATAACTTCCACCACATACGCCTTGCATAACTGCCAAGCCAATGCCCATGTGTAAACTTGTGGAACCGCTAACATCACATCCTCTAAAATGGTAAAGCGGACATACCATGAGGATGAATTCTCTCTCTCTTCAAAGGAACTAATCATCGTCTCCCCTGATGAGAGAAAGACTGTCAGCATCCCGCCTAGAGCCCTTTGACGAACCGACTCTGTTGGGACAATTTTTATTCATGTGCCCAGACTGTCCGCATCCCCAACAACAAGCTTTCTTTTGTACGGAGTCTTTCTTCTTCTTCCAATTGCTAGCTACCAGTGCCGAATCTTCATGTGAAGTACGCCCTTCATCTGAAATTTTCGTACCTTCTTCCATTCGCAGCGTGTGAAACTGCTCCTTCAGGTATAGCCGATTTGAGATGCCCTTTGCCTGATACAACGCTTCGAGCTTCTCAGAAAGTTCTTTGGCTGTTGAAATTCCATGCACATTCGCAAGAATATTCTTAGCCAAACTTGTTCGTATCACGCTTGCAGCTCTCAAATCCATTTCCTCCCAATCTTCATCACTCATGCTAGACTTCTTAGAACCTCTGCTGGAACCACCACTAGACTCCATTGGACCACCATCACCGCTTAGCTTTTTAGAAGCACCTTCACTCGGTCTTCCCTTCAACGCCTTGTGTAACCCAGATTGTGTCAGCACATCCTTGACTTGCACTTGCCACAAGCCAAAGTTGATCATTCCGTCAAATTTCTCCACGTCAATCTTCACTGGACTCATAAAGAATGACATATCTGCTTCACACTCCTAGCAAATCTACAAATAGTGAACAAGCCACACTATTCACAGAACCGTAGCTCGTTTCAAGAAATATTTTCTGATGTGGAAGTTCAGACAATGCTGCAACCACGGAGCATACTCAGAAATTCTAGAAACTACAAACCTAAAGCTCTGATACCAGTTGTTGGGAAAAATCCTCTACTTCTACCGCAGGAATTAGCAGAAAATAACTGAGAAATTTAAAGAAAGCAATAAAATAAAGAAACAAAAGAATTAACGTGGAAAACTCCAAATCGGAGAAAAAACCACGGCCCACAAGGGAAAATCCACTATGTGAAAAATTATTACAATTACATAGATTTCTCTCCCCGACCCCAATTAAACAAAATACTCTTTCAAAGCAAATACCGTTCAGTCTCATTTCAATATTTTGCCAGAACCCAACATAAACACTTGCAAGTTTAGTAAAAATTAGAATACATGGAAATTAGTAATAAACGTGGATAAGTCCTAATAAGTATTTAAGTCCTGTATGATAATCATTTCAACTTTTAGAGTCTATTTTTTGTTTTACGTTTTTTATTTTCTATTTTTAAAAACCAAAAAATATGCCTGTCTGACGAGTGTTTTTCATTTTATATTTAAAAAAAAAATAGAAAAACAAACTTGTTTAATAACTATTTTTAATATTTTGTTTTATTTATAAGTTAGAAAGTTTGAGAAATATACTAGAAAAAAAATATATATATATGTAGAGGTTAAAAATTATAAAAGTTTAAAGAGATAGCGCTAAACTATTTAAAGTGAAATTATGGAGAGATAAAGGAAAACTTTTAGAGAGAGAATATTAGCTGGAGAAAGATAAACAAATGTTATAAAGAAAAAAGTTAGAAGAAAAAGAGAAATTTTAGAGAAAGAAAGATTAAAAAAAATAGAGATAAAGAGAGTAAGTTTAAGAGAAAAAAGAAAAAAGAAAAAATATATATGTGTGTGTGTGTTAGAAAAAGATAGATCGATAATGAAGAACAAATCATAATAAAAGGAAAAATTTAGGGGAAATTTTACCGAGAAACAAGATTCTAGAGAGAACCTTTTGAAAAAATATTAAATTTTTAGAGGGGGAAGAGTAAAAAGAGAGAAAGGATATAAAGATAGAATTTTAGAAAAAAATAAATGTAAATATCCAAAATGTTTCATATCAATGAATATAATTGTCCTCATCTTTATACCATGGATGATGCTCTTCCCTAATCAATGTGGGATTTATTTGCATTCATCTTACAAACCCAATAATCCTCTTCTCGAATAAAGTACCACCTCTCCTCTCCTCAAGTAGTCACTCATCCATCTACTCTCAGACAGCTCTCGTCCAAAACTTCCGCCACACCTTTGATAGAGCACACCCACGGATTACACCATGAATGTGATGGGATGAGAGACCTATTAAATATATATATATATATATATATATATATATATATTTTGCAAAGGTATTAAATATATCTCACTCAAGATTTTAAAAGCAAATGTCAATGAAAATATCAAAGTCTCAATTTTATAAAAATACAAATAGAAATATCGATAAAATGTTGATGTCAATAGAATTTTTTGAAGAATTGTAAAAACAAAAATTTCAAAACCATATTTAAATTAACAAATAAATATTTCATCATTTTTTAAATAAGTTAAAAGATTATTAATATTAATATTATACTCATGTTAGTGAGATTTGGTTGATTTTTGTATTCATTTTTTTCTTTTTCACTATTATAGAAAGGTCAATTCACTCAATATTTTTATGACTCACAAAAAATTGGGCTACGAGAGTTTGAATATCTGATCTCAATCAAAAGAGTATATACCAATTACAATGCTTATGTTGACTCGATTCACTCAATATTGAACCTATGGACATATACAAAGGTCAATATGAAAATTTTATAACTTGATTTGACCAAAAAAAAAATATATATAGAAAAAAAAGTTTACCCTTTTTTTAACTTAGTAATTAAGGTGTATCAATTTTTTTTTAAATCCAATATTATCAAATTAGACCCTAGATTTAAATAAGTATTGTAAATTTTGCCATTCTTCAATTTCCTCTAGTTCATGAACTAATTTTAACAATAAGCAAGGAATCTCTAAAAACTCGTTAATTTCAATGAAATCAAATTAAATAAAACTTCACAAAATTAAGTTTGATGAATGAACAAACTAAATAATTGTAACCAAAGACCAACTCTGTTGTCAGTTTTCTTTCCAACCATATCAATTTTATACTGTACTTTATTTTATAATTCATTGAACATGTGACAATAGTTTCTTTTTTTTTCTTAATGATTCTTCTAATTACGAAAAAACTCATAAAATGTAATGTTATCGAGTAAGAATGAAGCGTTATGCGTCAAAAGGTAAGTTGTGCCACGATGGCCGGGTCTGTAAAACCAACCAGACATGGCCAAAATGTATCGAAAAACAGGGCCGAACGCTCTTAAGGACTCATACTATGGACATCCAGCTTGCAGGACATATCGACACACCCTGTACCCAAATTGATTTGCGTCCCTAGAGACTACAAGGACACTGCCAAGCCCTTCACCTTCGAGGCAAGAGGGAAACAAAGATGTCGGCGTGTTCCCCGCGTACCCTTGGTGTGACATGTCCCTCCTCTATGAACGCCCATGAAAGTGGAGACCTTCCCACTCCAATCATCTCCATCTCATATATAATGGAAGGGGAAAACCTAAGTGAAGGTAAGTCGCATTTTCCTTACACATCTCTTAGTGAGGATTCGACACATACTCTCAAGCAAATCCTCGCTCTCAAGATTTCTACTTCCTCTCACTTTTTACGTTTCATATCCGTTTGCCCCTACTTAAGTTCTAACTTAAGTATCGAAGTGTATTCGACAAAGCACTGACAAAGAAGCAAATCATTAGATACGAAGACGTACATGGTAACCAAGTTGGCACCTACACGAAATTCATCCTTAAATCTACATCAACAATAATATGTAAAAATTGAAACAACTTTTCAAATTTAAGGTAAAATATTGTTGCACCATTCATCTAAGCTTCATATGCAATAGTTTTAAAGATACTTTTTTTCAAAATAGAAGAAATAACACTAACAAAATAAACATAACTCAATTGTCCACTAAAAGGTTAAGAAATTTATTTAGATCCCCACTCCATCTAGTTGAACTCATGAAGAAAACGAAAGAAAAAACCAATAACAAAATCATTAAGAGGCCGGCTATAAATAGGAGAGCTTCATTGGGGCTGAGGAACACACAAGCCTTAGCAAACAAAAGCCATGGATGAAGAGTCCGAAGTTCCCTCAGTCCCCTATCAGTTTGCTCTCAAATCAGTATTCAACAAAAAATATCTCTCCTTCGTTCGTAAGGACAAGGAGCTATTTGGATATCTCCAATTCTCTGGGGACAAAGTTCTAAGTCCATACACAAAGTTCGAACTCGAAACCTCTAAGTTTGGAAAAGGATTTTTCCACATAAGATGCTGTTGGAACAACAGATATTGGGTTCTACACTCGCAATCCTCCCACTACATCGTGGCTGGAGCCAAAAAGCCCGACGAAGACCAATCAAAGCACACCTGCACCTTATTCAAGCCCATCTATGACGACGGTTCCCACGGCGGTTTCCGGTTCCGAAACGCCCATCTCAACCGCAACCTCCACCTCCACGGCGAGGCCTTTGGAGCACACAAAAATTGCCTCTTTGCCAAAAGCTCAAGACCCGAAAGAGACCGATCCGACCTCGTAACAGTCGTTGACTGGGACTCCCTCTGCATYCTCCCAAGATATGTSGCCTTCAAGGGCGACAATGGCCGCTACCTTCGACCCTCGCACCATGCCTACGGCAGCGTTTATTTAGAGTTCCGCGCTTTGGATATTTCCGACCCCGGAATAAAACACGAGATTCTAACGATGCCTGATGGCCATATTCGCGTGAAAAATGTGCCTTATAAACAGTACTGGGTACATGACCCAGATTGGATATTGGTGAAAGGGAATGAAAATTCAGCTAATGATCGCCACGCCTTGTTTTGGCCGATCAAAGTTGACAACAATGTTGTGGCACTGCGTAGCATGGGCAACAATCACATATGCAAGAGGCTGAGCATTGATGGGAAGGAGAATTGTTTGAATGCTTCCGCTGGGAGCATCACTGATGAGGCAAGAATGGAAGTGGTGGAGCTTGTGATTTCGAGGGAAATTTACAACATCAATTTCCATCTCTCAGATGCGAGGGTTTATAACGAGAAACCCCTTTTGGTGGCCACTGGAACTGATGAGAATTTGAAAGATGCAGCTGAAAAAGTGAGTGTGAAGCTGTCTTATGAGGACACTGTGACAACAACTTGGAAGTCTTCTATATCGACCAAATTTGGGGTTAAAGTGACTGTGGAAACTGGGGTTCCTAAGATTTCTGAAGGGGAGATTGAGATTTCTGCTGAGTTTCAGGAGGAATATGAATGGGGAGGAACCCAACAGACCAAAACTCTTGTGGAGGTGATGTTGGAAATTTTAAAGAGTTTATATTTATTATTTTATTTTATTATGTTATTTCACTCTTTTAACTTGGTGTCGGTCAGCTTGAAGGATTGCTACAACTTGTTAAATTTAGACTCTCTTATAATAGGGGTGGGTGCTTCCTTATATAAAAGAGGAAGCATGTGACAGAGAGTTCTCAGGATGTGTGTTCTAGCAGTGATTTGCAGGAGTTGTTTTCTGTAAACTACACAGGGTTTGTTTTGAGTTTTATGATTTTGAGTATGAGAGAATTCCTTTGTATTTCATTAATGATAAGAGAGAGTGTCTACGACTTGTTAAACTTAGACTCACTCATAATAAGGGGTGCTTCCTAATAATAGGGGTAATTCATATGTGTTATCCACCCTTAAATGTTGTAGTGTGTCAAGTGGCTGCTTCGTGAGATTAATATAAAATGGGATGCTTCCTTATAAAAGAGTTAAGATCTGACAGTCTAAGATAGAGTTCTCGAGTTTTATGGTTTTGAGCATAAAAGACAATTGGGGATTCGATTGTTGTATCTTCGAAGACTCTGTACAGTAGGAGAATATTTTCTCTATGGACAGCATTTACAAATACGAATAGTGTCTCAATCCATAATTTACATGCTTTTCTTATCTCTCAATTTTAGTATTTTTTTATTAGATTAATTATGTGTTAGATTATTTTAAAAATTTCTATTCCCTAAATATATTTCCAACGACAGGTGACCCACGACGTGATGGTGCCTGCATGGAGCAAAGTGAGGGGCAGCATAATTGCCACTCAAGCTATCTGTGATGTTCCTTTCTCTTACACTCAACGGGATAAGCTTATGAATGGAAGATCAGTTATTAGTCGTCTTGATGATGGTATTTTTACTGGCGTCAATTGCTACAACTACAAGTTTCTAGCAGAAGAAATCTGATAAGTATGTTGTGTTTTTTACTGCTACTGTGTGTTTCATAATGTTCAAAATCAGTCAATTTGGTAATAAATGTGAGAGGGGACTCAGTGCATGCATCATGTTTTTCCTTTTGTAATGCTTGGAGCAATTGCTTACATTAATAAAATTAATTTCTGTTGTTTTTAATTTCCTTTTGGTATGTTTTGGGATTCTGCGCTCTCTCAAATGACGGGTAAAAATATTGGAATGCAATCAAAGTCACACATTGAACTAGATATACTCACGAGAGATGTAATATTTCTATTGGTATTTGGCCTTGCACATGGTAGAACATGCAAGAGACTGTAATTTGAAATTAACTGGGTTAGTAGAAATAGAATTAGAGAATATTAATTACAATTACATATATTTATAACAAAATAAAATCCAACTATCATATATGATGGCTATGTTTAGCCTACAACTAAGAAGTTTAGACAGAGACACGTGATACGGAAACACGTCAATTTAAAAAAAAAAAAAATAGGACAAGATGTGTTACGACCTGTTAAGTTTTTTAAATAAATATTATATATATGCATATTTTGAAAAAAGTAAATTATATTAACATATACTATTTTGATTATATATTTTGTTAAGGATGAATAACCATTGCTCAATCATTATAAATGCGGAGGAAATAATGATGCAAGGGTTGAATACATTACCTCCTCACCCTGATTCCATTTAAATATTCATGCGGTTCTATCTCAAAACCAATTGGCGATAAAAGGAATAATCCATGGGTTAATATCTCTCGACTCTCAAATCGTGGCTCTTTTGACTCATCTATCTTGGTCGGATCTCATTTTATGCTTATTTGAGCTTTTTTAGGTTCTCCGTACCATAAAAGTATGAATAATAAACTAACACTCAACTCAAAAACTTAAGCCGATAGATTAAAAGAAAAAAGGGATTAGTACATTGATGGGCTATTTAAAGATACTAATTACATAAAATGATGAAATGTATAGAATTTACACATTTGTCATGTATCAACCCTATTTAAGAGGGTACTCATCATATAAATTACTTAAATAGCCTCTTGTATTTACAAATTCATTTTAATATGCAAAATTGATTAATTTGAAGGTTATAATTTAGATCACATAATTTTAGGTTAATGATACTTTCCAAAACAAATTAAAACACCAAAACATTAAAAACAAAACCCTAAATTCCCCAAAATTGAAATCATAACCTCCCAAAATATCTCCAAATCCCGTCCAAATATCTCCCAAATTCGAAATCTAAGAACTTTTTTCGCTTCATCCATGAGACGTTTAAAACTTCAGTTTTAGAGGACCCTTTCTACATTACTATAGGATATATGCGTTTATATCTTGTATACAACTATAAGATATATCACATATAAGATATATATGTATATACAATATATACCTATATATACGAATATAATCGGGAATACTAAGAATATGAGACATTTAGAACTTCAATTTTCTATACACATAAACAAAATATATCCCCAGATATACCAATCTTAACGGAAGACTAATAATTACAAATGGTATGGAGGACCATTTCTACAGGACTATAAGATATATGTATACACATATAAGATATATTCACATATACAATATATACCTATATATACGAATATAATCAGGAATACTAAGACTGTGAGACGTTTAGAACTTCCATTTTCTGTACACATACATAAAATATATCCCCATATATATCAATCTTAACGGAAGACTAATAAGTATCAATGGTAAAAACAAAAGGGGACAGGAGACGAGGAATGCGCTGAATGGCGTCGGAAACGTTTAAAGACGTCGACGGAAAGTTTATTCGGCGACGGAAATTGAAGGAATAAATACCTCGTTGACGGAAGCACGCTGCACGGCATTGAAAACGTGGAACGAGGTCGACAGAAAGTCTATTCGGTGACGAAGAAGATCTTGACAGAAAGAAGAAGGAAAAAATCGATCGTTGATGGAAGCTCTAAAGAAGTACACAGACGGTATGCACTTCAATGTTGTCGACGTTGATGAAGGTATGCACGAAAAAAAGGAAGACGCTTGGGAAAAAAAATCAAGGTTGGAGAAGGAAGCACACAAATTTGGAAGTTCTTAATTGGTGAGAGAATAAAATCTTTTTCGAGGGAGAGATTTAAGGAATTTAGATTGAATAATTGAACGGGACCCATAATAATTAAATGAATATAATAACAAATTAAGGATTCAAATCTTTTAAATTTTAAAATTATAATAAAATAAAAAGCAATAACTAAGGGTAAAAACGATATTAGAATAAAATAAAAACATCTAAGAGTGTAAATTTAGAAAACTAAAGACATTTATGAAATTAAGAATTAGCCCTCCCAAGACATTATCTCAAGAAAAAAACAAAGAAGAACAACGAAGGAGAAGGAACAACGAAGGAGAAGCAACATGTTGTTGTGGGTGGAAGTGGATAAACTCAAACAAGGACGCAAATGTCATTGTGGGCCTTGGGCTTGGGCTTAGATTTTATGGTCTGAAAATGTTAAATTCACTGAAAACAAATAAAAATAAAAATTGTCTATGAAAGAACACAAAATAAAACGTTATCACAAAATAATGCAATGGCAGAATTATTATCACAAAATAAAAGTCTCACTTTTTTGTAGTATACTTCAATTCTTTCAACATCCACCTAAGCGATAAAGTTTGACATCGAGTTGAAGATAAAGAGATGTATTATGCTTTGATCTATGGTAGAAGGAGCAATAACGAGCTATTTCTTTGAAGTCCATTCAAAAACACCCGAGTTATACTAAGAACATGTATTCATATTTAATTTGCGTCTTTTATAAGTGTCTCTTGGGTATTATATAAAGGGATAGTTTTACTCATTTGCAATCAAGTCAAGGAAAGCAAAGTCATTTACCAAAATACGGGTTTTTGTTTCTTCAATTTTGTGTGAGTTAGAGAACAATTTTCTTCTCTCGTCTCTTGAGTTGTGTTGTGAGGACCTACTTTGTTTCCAATAGATAAACGTTGGAGTTAAATGTGATGGAGATTAGGTTAGAATACACTAATGGAAAACTTGGATCGTTAGATTGGTTTTAACTTTGGTCATGAGTGGATTCAAGATAAATTTGATTGGAAGAGATTCAGTGTCGCGAAAGCTCTAATACTATGTAAAATTTCATATCAAATTTTGAAAGAAAAATAAACTCAATTCCTTACTGTGAATTGTTAAGGATTCCATATGAATAAGATAAATGATCTAACAATAGTTTATAATATAAGTAAGGTACTCCTCTCATTGCCAATTAGTTTTTAGATGGAACCTATGAATATTAATATGATATCATAGCTCAAAAGTTCAAACGATCATTCGGTGAATGATTGATACTGATAAAGAAAAAGGCAGAATCGGGTTTCAAATCATAGGAACAAAATTCATAACTTAACAGTTATATTACGAGAATCACACTCAAACATAATGACACATGACAAACTCCAAAGGAAACTAAGGATGTAATAGGTAAGCTTGAATGGCTGTGCAGCCACATTATTGTTCACACAACAAGGCGCATAAGCTAATCAATCACAAAGGCAGTACTACCTTATCGGACCTAAATTGGAAGTCGTAGGACTGAATGCCATTGAAAACTCCGTCGTCATACTCACGGGAGATCTGTGTTCCATCTCGGAGAGTGTCGATCTTAGTATACGAAAAAGGGACGTTGCAAAAGCCCCGTTTTACGATTGCATTCATCTTCACTTTCGACATTGGAGGCACTGTTATAGTGCTGCTACAAGACATGAACCTTTTCTCTTTTTGTGTCTCTCCCCATGCATACTCTCCACCAGCCACAACAGAAACAGTAATGCTTCCATCTCCAATCATTGGAACCCCGGCAGTGAATTGTTTTGAGACTCCAAATTTGACACCCAATGCATTGGTCCAATTCCTCTTCATTTTATCCTCAAAAGAGAATGTGAATTGCACGGTGTCCGCGGCTCTTGTTTTGTTAATAGCATCTCCTTTAACCATCGACCACACCCTCTCGCCGTAGATTTTGGCATCCTTCATGCGATACTCAATGTTTTCTATTCTGCTCGACATTACAGCCTCTGCGAATTCCATTTCGGTTTCTACGATTGGATTTTCCAGGTCAGCATTCAAGCAATTTGACTTTCCATCTATGCTGAGGCTTGTGCAGAAGTGGTTGTTGCCCAAGCTACGAAGAGCCACAATGTTGTTGCCAAGTTTCACTGGCTGAAACAATGAGTTGAGATCGTCCCTACTGCTATCTGTTAAGAATATGAATGAATGAATGATAATATTTGTTCCTTTAGGTTAAATTACAAATTTTTGTTCTTGAAGTTTTCATTTTGTATCTCGTAGGTATTCATCGGTGGTTAACTCTTCAATTTAGCATGATAACAGATTTTGTTTTGATTTTCTGTTTTGGAAACTATGCTTATTATTAACGTTACTCTCAATACCCTATGTGTTCTTCTGTTTACTTATATACTTTCTGACCATGTTTTTTTTTTAAATCTATGCTAAAATTTTAAAATTAAAAAAAAAGAGTAACTTGTTAAAATGGGTATTTTTAATAGGTAGCAAAAAGTTTTTTTTTTCTTTTTGCTTTTGCTAATTTTAAAATGGTATTTTTTTGGTTTTTGGTTATTATTCAATATTAATTTTCTTTGGATTAAAAAATTCTGTTTATGTAACATCTTACAATTCTTGTTAATTGATATATCAAAGTATACACAAAATATATCAGTGGAATGGTATATTTGTTTATTTCATTTTAAACGTATCCCTCCTAAATCTTTTTCAACATGAGGATTTTGGTCTAAGTAATATTGTAGTGTATATATATATATAAAACGGATATATCTAATATAATGTATATTACATATAGCTGATATAACTAATATGAAATATATTAGTCACACAAAATAAATAAATAATATAATTCATGTTAGATATATCAGTAATAAATCTTCTTAGAATTGAGGTTGGTTTTGTTCTAGTAATATTGTAGGTTTCTTACTGACTCAGTATAGAGAAATATATTACTATATTAAATATTAAGTGATATACTTAATTTTAGATATAATACTGATATAAAGATATATCTAATATTAAGTATATCGTTAGTATACTTGATATTAAATATATTATCACCTTTTCCATATTTTGTTTGGGTTAAACCTCGGTATTTTGCTATGTTTACAAATTATAAAAGCTATATTTACAATTAACTACTAATATTTTATTATACCTGCCGGCAACCCTTTGAAAAATTTTTTCTCTCTTTCTTAAAGTTTCTAAGAGTCCAATGTGTTTTTAATAAATATGAAAAATATACTAAATAAATGGTAAGAAAGTCTGAATAATATTAAAAAATATAAAAGAAAAAAGGTAATCATTATCAAATAGGATGTGAATGCTTTTAATTTGTGGCAAACTTAATATATTATTTAAGGAAGATTACACGGTGAGCTTATTTCGGATAAATCAGTCAATTCGGTGAAATTATTGTTAAGAGGACAAAATAAACATACAACCCTAAATGATCAGTGACCAAATTTGTAATTCAACCTTAAATTTATTATAACATATCTTCTTTTTTTTTAAGAAAAATGAGTACATTTTATTATAGCCATCATCAGCTTAACTAAGCTTTTAGTCAAGTGAATTTTTACCCACTTCAATAATCTCAATTCCTCCCCATTATTAATGATAGTAATAGCATTATTAGTTATATGAATGAAAAAAAAAAAGTTTAAAATTTATGAAACTTAAAAGTTCTTGAGTTCAGTGATAATTGAGTACCTTCTGCTACCACGACTATCCAATTAGGATCACGAATCCAGAACTTTTGGCAACCCACATTCTTGATACGAATAGTTCCATCATTCTTTGGGAAGATTTCATGGATATGCGATGGATTTTCAACATCTGTTCCAGAGAATTGCAAATAATGACCATTGTATTTCAAGTACTTTCCATTGCTACCCTTAAAGGTCACATGTTTTGGGAGTATAACTAATGAATCCCAATCGATAAGTGTATTGAATGCATTATCCTCCCATTCTTCAATAGTTGCACCCTTCTCCTTCGCCAGGAGGCCATCGGGGAATTCGTCGAACAAGCTGGCTCGAAACAGCTCGTAGCCGAGCTGCACATGGCGAAAGCGGTAGCCTTTGTGGTCAGCATCGTAGATGGGCTCAAACAGCGTGCACGACCATTTGGACTGGTCGTTTTCTTGCTTTGTGCCGATGGCAACAATGTAGTTGGAGTCAGGCGACTGACGAACCCAGTATTTATTGTTGTAACTGCATCGTATGTGCATGAATCGGGGGTCGGATTCGGAGGCCTCGGAGTGGAACTTGGAGACTGGACTCGGCAGCTTTTTTCCAGAGAATTGGAGGAATCCATCTACTTGTTTCTCATGATCTTGTACATAGCGAAGATATGGTGCAGTTTTGGGCTGTGGAAACCTTGGCCTGTAGTTTTGCAAAGCAAAATGTTTTGGGATTATGGATTTATCGTCTTCACCACCTGATATTTCGATGTCTTTTCCTGATATTTCTTTGTACCTATTTTCCAGCCGTTCTTCCCTCAATCTATCCTCTACTTCAGAGTCCAACATTTTGTCCAAATTAATGCACTATGAATCTAAACTCGTATATATATTGTAACTTATTTGGATGCTCTCTTGGGTTGGGACGAGGGGTTCAAAGATATTTCGAACCGAACCGAACCCAAAATATCGAATCGATGATTTGCCTGACTCAAATGACGCTCGCCCTTGATAGGATTAAACTTAATCCAACGATGTAATATTGGGATAGTTAGAAATCGAACTAGGGGTTACTGAGATAAAATATGGTGAAAATATAGCGGGTAGTCAATCCAAACATAATTTAGTGAATAAGGTATGAATTACATCTTAAAGGGTATGGTTATTCAAATCGAAAAGAATAAGGAATGTAGAACTACTCTATTATCATGGTAAACTATACTTAATTATTATCCTATTCAATGAAAATATTAATTCATTATGTTGATCCTCGGGGAACTCAATATTGAGTACTATTATTGAGGACGATTAGAGACCATTTTGTTAAGGATCCCACGTTGAAAAGAAAAGTGCTCTTACAATGATTTATAATAGATTGAACTACTACTCCATTACCGTTGGTTTTGAGATGAACCCCATGAAAATTGATAGATTTGTTAACTATTCTTTTTTCTTTTTAATTTTTGAAAAATTGAAAATGAATTCAACTTTATGTTTTCTGATTTTAATCGTTTTTAAAATCCCTAGTAAATAAAAAAAAATAGTTTTTAAAAACATATTTCTATTTTTTAAAATCTCTAATGCTCAACTTATTTTTTTCTTTTAACATATTTCTCTCTAATAAAATTTTTTTCTTGCTCTAATTTTTTTTTTAATTAAAGTTCTTTCTCTAAAAATATTATCTTTTCCTCTCTAAAAGTTTCGTCTCTGAATGCACCATGGGGTGTTGGCGTAGTGGCAAGAGGGTTACGTTTGACCCCTGATATATGTGTCCAAAAACAAAAGTTTCGCATCTGGAATATTTCTCTCCATCTCTAAAATTTTCATTTGTAAATATTTATTTTTCCTTCTTTTCCGTTCTAGCATATATCACTTTCTTTTTTCTCTCTCTAGAAATTTAATATTTATTTAATGTTTTTAATTCTCAAATTTCACGTTTTATAACGTTTCCTTTCTCTTACTATAAGAAATATATGTTCAACTTTTCTAGATATTTTCTATTTCAGCTTTCTTTCACTTACCACTCTAATTTCTCCTTTTATTTATTTATTTTATGTAACAAATTCATTTTGAATTTTTTCTTGTCAAAATTTTGTTGTCACTACAATTTTTCTTTCTCATTCTTTTTTTTCTTTATTTTACTCTCGTTAGAGTTTTCTACTTTTTTACTTTAACTTTTCTCTCACTAATTTTTTTTTCTAACTTTTCTCTAACTCTAAAATATACTCTCTCTAAAATTTCTATTTCAAAAAGTTTTTCTAAATCTCTCTAAACTTTTATTTTCATGACAAAAATTCTCATAGGGTCGAGTCCCCATTTTAGAAATAGAGAATGCATTTCACATTATGTCTATTGTCTCATCTTGGATTCCATCTTTTAAATAATTAATATATTTTTTATTAATTGTTTTACTAAATAATGTATAAATATTAAATATTTTTTAACTAATTATTTGTACTAGTAAATAACAATTTACTTATTTTTACTTTTTAAATTCTAAAAATAACTAAAATTACTTATTAAACCAAAAATGTTTCTTGTGAAGATCCCCTCCCCAAATGAGGATTCTTGAACCTGGACCTCGATTCCTAAAATTGGAGAACGGGTTGGAGGTGAGAATTAAAAATTTTTGTGGAAGTGGGCATCCCGACTTCTACCCCACGTTGTTGCCGTCTCTAGTTTACATAGATTTTTTTATCTCTAATGTATATTTTCAATTTTCTAACTTTTTAAAAACAGGTAATCAAAAATGGTTATCAAACATATGTTTGGTTTTCAATTTTTGAAAAACAAAAACTAAAATAGTTATCGAACAATATGGTTTCTATTTTTTAAAAACAGAAAATTGAAAATAGAAAACAGGAGGCACAAATACAAAAAATTAAAGATCTCACATTGATAAGATAAGAGACCTAACAAGGGTTTATAATAGACATGACTACTTCTATCATTCTCAATTGGTTTTGAGATTCAACTTCATAAATATTAATAATTAATTATATATATATTTTTAAAAAGGTTTATATTTTATTATGGTTTTAGAAATCTGCTTATTCTATATTTGGGAACTTTCCAACCTTTTAATTTATTCATCGTAATTATTTGTGTAAAAACTAATTTTTTTCGTTCATTTATCGAATCAATAAACATTTATGAACTCTGCATTAAAACTCATATTTTAGTCCTTTCCATGAGTTCTTTTAACCATAATTATTAACAAAAATCTGATAATTATATCATTAAGTATTTAAAGCCATGTGTAGTTAGTCAAATGTCAAGTTTTTTATTATGTATTCAGGTTCTTTGCTAAATAGTCACTAATTATGATAGTGAAGACTAAATTAGGGCCGATAATCCTTTCATTTTTAGTTTTCATTTTTAGTTTTTAGTTTTTGATTTTTAGTTTTTTTAAAAATAAGATGGTTGGATAACCAACTTAATTTTATATTTTTTGTTTTTCAAAAACCATTTTGAAATTCATTCTAAATTTCAAAATATATATATAATTTTCTTATAATACTCAACTTTTTTCTTTCTCTCATATTTATCTCTAAAAAATTTCTTTCACTCTAAAATTATTTTCTTTTCTAATTTCTCTCTATAAAATTTATTTTTTACCCTCTAAAATTTTCATATTTTGAATATTTATTATTGTCTATCTCCAAAATTTTCATCTTTATCTATTTTTAATTCTTTTTTTCTAACAGGTCAGTTTCATTTCTCTCTCTAAAAATTTAATATTTTTTCGAACTTTTTTCTATCCAAAATTCCGTCTTTTATAGCTTTTCTTTCTCTTCTTGATTTATTTTTCCTCTAAAAGTTATATCTTCTTTTCTCGTTCAATTTTATTTCACTGTAACTTTTATTTATCTATGTATTTATTTATTTTCTCTAAAAATTATATTTTGAATCTTATTTTTATCTTTAAAATTTTTTCCACTATAATTTTTCTCTTTCTTTCTAATTTCCTTTTTTTTCTTTAATACTTCTCGATTTTACTTTTTTCTCTAAAACTTTTTTTTTTCTCTTTTTGTCTTTAACTTCTCATTTACTACTTTTTTTTTCTAAATCTTTTTATTTATCTCTCTAAAATCTATCTTCCAAAAGTTTATTTACATCTATCTAAACTTGTATTTTCATATCTCTACATTAGGGATGACAAAAATTTTCAGGGTCGGGTCTCAAAAGTAGAAAATGTATGTCTGGATCTTGTGCCCGTCCCCGATTCTATTTTTTAAATAATTAATATATATTTATTCCAATTATTTTATTTTTTAAATTCTAAAAATAATTAAAAACAATTATAAAACCGATAATTTTTCTCAAAAACATCTCTCAGACCTAAGAACGAGTTGGAGACAGTGATTGAAAATTTTCACGAGCACGAGTATGAGGAGAACATCCTCACTCACACCCACATCATTGTCATCTCTACTCTATATAGAATTTTCTCTCTATGTATTTTCAATTTTCTAACTTTAGAAAACTAAAAATGGTTACCAAACATGTTTGGTTTTCTGTTTTTTAAAAACAAAAAACAAAAAATGGTTATGAAAGATATATGGTTTTTGTTTTTTAAAAACATAAAATCAAAAACCAAAAACTAAAAAAAAAATGTTATCAAACGGGCAGTTTTTATTTGAAATTGATGGACCGAAACCATTCATTTGAGAGTGCAACATTATTATAGCTTAGCAGTAATTGACATGTATTCCTTCCCTCGAGGTCAGAGGTTCGATCTCTCAAATCTCTAAATTGTTGTACTAAAAAAAGAAAAAAAACAATTCATTTAAAAATCCACGAACTATTATATTTAGTTAGGTAATTTTATTAAATTAAACCCAAACTAGAATATAACTACTAGACCAAAAACTAAACCATTTAACCACATAATACTACATTATATTCCCATATATACATCTTATTACAAAACAAATTTGTACAGTTGATCAATTTTCAAAATTCCATGTAATTTACAATTCAATAAAAAAAAAACAAAAAGAAAAATTAAAAAAGAAAAAATCAGGATATTTTATTAGATATTTCATCTCATCAAGTGGGTTTCAATTGTTGCCTTCTGCTGATGGTCCAATTTTATTTCATGTAAAAGCAACAATCCATAAAGGAAAAAGAAAACAAGGAAGAAGGTAATAAAATTAAATCACTTTTTAACAAAAATAGTCTCAATTAGTGTCGGAAAAACTATAAATGAGTAGTCAACGTTTTAAATTTTGATGCCCATGAAAATGTTGAATTCTAGATTTTATGAAAATATCGATAAATTGTCAATGATGGAAATATCGATAAAAAAATTGTAAATGTTTATATTTTTTTCAATAGTTTTACGATATGGAAATGTCGATTTACCTCATATGTTGACGTCAAACTCGTGGGCATATAAAAATGTCAATGTAAATATCGATATGTCAATGAGAATTTAATACTGTTCATAGTGAGTTAGACGGAAATCGTACCTAGTTAGCCTCCGCGCTTTAAAACATTTGAACATAATGGAAAATGCCACTTTTAAAAAATTTCTCTCCTTTGAAATAATAATTATTTTGCAACATTTTGACAATCTCCTCCATCCTCGCGCTTTAAAACATTTGAACATAATGGAAAATGCCACTTTTAAAAAATTTCTCTCCTTTGAAATAATAATTATTTTGCAACATTTTGACAATCTCCTCCATCCTTCCACTAAAGTTTAAAATACTTTATATTGAATAGTCTTAACTGTACCTATTTATTGTAAGTTAAAATCAATACCTTATGGCTCCCACAATTTACAGGAGAATGTGGTCCAAAATATGTCGTTCTGTCACGTTTCGTCCGTCTTTTAGGTACTTTTT